GATAGTAAAAGCTTCAGAAAAAGTAATGCTATTGACTGTTAAGGGTAGATGACTAAATTCTTGCTTAAGATGATCACTGCCTGATACTTGTCTGGTGAGAATAGAATCTATCTGCCCAAACCTGATCTGAGTTGAGGTCTTGCTGCATACGCAGTCTTCAGTAAACACACGACTTTTGACCTTATGAAGGGAAGATCACTGGTCCTAGGACATTACCCTGACTAACTACTATAGCAATGTCCTTGGACCAAGATGTTCAACCTACGATGACTGCCATCTTCCTTTTTGCTAGGTATGTCTCCAATTAGTGGCAAGTTTTTTTTTCCTCCTAATTCTCATTGACTTCAGTTTTGTTAGGGCTCTTTGAGACTTTACTCTCTCAAACATGGCTTTGACGGCAAGAACAGGTCCCTTCACTTCACCTGTTGAGCGGCTATTTTGTCCACACAATACGCATAAACTTGTAAAGGTGTCAGTTGCTGAGTGGCCCTTGCAAAATCCAAACTGAGCACCAGTGATAAAGTTATTCCCTTTCAAGTACTGTTATGGTTTGATAGCACTGTTATGGCCTCTTCCACTGTTTTACTGATGATCATGAGTACTCTGATAGCCAAATACAGCACTGGGTTGATTTTGTCCTGCTTTTTGTGGACACGGCATACCTGGGCAATTTCCCATATTGTCGGGTAGATGCCACTGTTATGGCTATACTTGGTTAGGGCTGCAGCTGGAGCACAAGTCTTCAGTACTTTTGCTGGAATGTTGTTCGGGTCCATAACCATTAGCTATATTTGGTGCCTTCAGTTGTTTCTTTATACCTAAGGGAATGAATTGAATTGGTTGAATATTAGCATCTATGTTGCTAGAGACCTTGGGAGCAGGTTAAGTATGATCAGATGCTCAGACTTTTCGCTCAAGATTTTTGTAAGTACTTCAGCCTTGTCTTTTACATTGATGTGCTGGGTTTCTCCATCATTGAGGATGGATAGACTTGTGGAGCCGCCGCCCCCAGGGAGTTTAATTGTCCACCACCATTCATGACTGGGTGTGACAGGGCTGCAGAGTTTAGATTAGTTCTGTAGTTTTTGGGATTGTCCAGCTGTCTATCATAAGCTGCTTCCACTATTTGGTGTGCCCTCCTGCACTCTTTACCAAACCAGGATTAGTCCCCTGGTTTAATGCAAGAATAGGGAATGTGCTGGCTCTGTGACAGACAATTGTTGATAATTTTTAGGAAGGTAGGATAAAGATCACAAGAAGGAGGTGGATTGGCTGTGGAAGAAGCAGTGGTAACTGGGATCTAAGAGTATTGAAGCAGAATGCCCTGAGTTTGAGTAGTGAGGCATCTGTTGGTGGTGCATTGCTAGTCTTTAGATATTGTGACAGGAGAATGCTGAGGAGTGGAGTGTTAGAGGGGAATTTTTTCAATGAGGGCTGGAATGGTTGCAGAGAATGCATTGGGTAGGCGGGATTACTAGCTGGTGAAACTTGAGAAGGGTTCTCCTGGAACAAGTTATTAAGGAGATTGGGCACACTATATGTTGGGTAAGAAGGTTAGGAGCAATGCAAGACAGCTACTGAGATTTGCGACCAATGATAATGCTCTGAATTTCAGGGGCACGAAGAAAGCGATTTCTGGGTGCAAAAAACATTCTTTGGGCCATTGGGCAGTAACAAATGGAAAGGCTACTGAAGTAGTGGAGAATGAATGTAAGGATCTGGGACATTTCAGAGGTTTTGAGTTATGAAAATGGGGTTCCTCTGTTGTATTAGATGATCTTGGAGTTTTGGATGTAGCTTGGGATTGGTCAGTAGAAATTAAACCTGACACAGTTAGTAAATATATCATCTGATGTGCTATTCACATTGAAATAATGTGAACACAGTTTCATAGAATTCCCACAGTGCGGAAGCAAAGCAGTTGGCCCATCAAGCCCACACTGACCCTCCAAAGAGCATCCCACCAAGACCTACCCCACCAACCCTATCCCTGTAACCCTGCATTCCCCATGGCTAAACCACCTACCCAGCACATCCCTGGACACTCTGGGCAATTCAGCATGGCCAAACCACCTAACCTGCTCATCTTTGGACTGTGGGAGGAAACCAGTGCCCGGAGGAAACCCATGCAGACGCAGGGAGAACGTGCAAACTCCACACAGACAGTCACCCGAAGTTGGAATTGAACCCGGTCCTTAGCGTGTGAGGCTTGCAGTGCTAGCCACTGTGCCACCCGCTTTCATGCTTAGTGCTTTGACAGGTGGACATCGACTTTTCTCCTTGAGAATTGCACAGTATGTGTATTTCACCTGAATAATTACCTTAAAGTCTGCAGTTGTTCACTGTGCTTTTGTTAAAAGTTTGTGCTTTTTAAAAAAAAATTTTGAAATAGTTCAGGTCACTGCTAGGGACACTGCTTTTGAAATTGATTTGCCTGGGTGGCAAAGAGGAGTGACAAAACCATAGGACTTGAGCAAAGAAGGAGCAAGGGTTCTGGCAGCAAGAACAATAAAGGAAGGGGTACAAAGTGGCAGAGAGTAGTTAAAAAATCGGGAGCTGGGCAGGTAATAGGCAGAAGTGTTGAATGAAAGGTACGATTTTTCACAGGTTTTGGCACAGTCTGCTCGGCAGAGGACCGCTCTATCAATGAGACAGAGTTATAAAATAATTGTACTGTCTGCTTAAGTTTTATATGGTTGTACCATTCTCCCACAAATACATAACTAAAATATTATAATCTTTTTGACCAACATTTCAGTCATTCTTCTATCATTCTGTAGGATCAATGGCTATTTTAGGGGAAGGACAATAGCAAACCAATTTTCATTGCCATGATCTCTACCATTCCACTTTATAGCAAATCCCTCCATATTTTTCCCTATAGAAACCTATGTCAGTTTTTATTAATCATTAATGTTATTTCCTTCAATGGCCTGTTTCTGGTAAATCAATTTTATGATCTTAACACTTGTTAACAATAGGAAGCACCTATTTTCTTTTTATTGTTGCTATATTTTTGAGATCGTGAAAACTTTACCAGGGTGTTTTTTTGTTTTAATCAAATTTTTTCATAACTTTCAAAGCTTTTATTAGGTCAGGCCAAAGTCTTCCTTTTCCCAACAAGAGTAAGTTTTTTTTTGTTTGTAATCTTAGTTTAGAGAATGAATGTTGACGAACTTTCTATTCTCAAGTACAGTGACATACTATTTAGTTTGCACAGCTCCCAATGGGATCTAACCAGCATCATATGTAGTTCCATAAATCCTTTTTTAAAATTTATGTTGTGCCTTTTAATAATGCACTCATGTTTTCATTTTTTATTGGAAGAAACTGATACTTTGATCTGGTGCAAAGTACTTGTGTGACATCTATGACAGAGTTGATTGAGAAAATTTGGTATACAAATAGTAGCAACAGAAAAGAGTGTGGACAATAAGACACAAAAAATGGATTTTGTGCTTGGAGGTAGGCACATGGCTAAATGAATTCTTTCCATCAGGTTTTATCAATGAAGAAGAGTTGGTCAGGTAAAAGAGGAGGTAGTTCAGATAACTGGTTAATTTAAAATTGATGAGGGTGCCAACAGAAAGAGGATGACTACTTAAAATTGATAAGGAGCTAGGTATAGATGAGATGTATCTGACAGTACTAAGGGTGTGTGAGAAAACTTGTAGAATCTGTACTTTGGGGCAAATTAGTTGTCACTTGGGAGAAATTTGGACTAATTAAGGAAAACCAACATGGATGTATTGAGGGCAAAGTACATGTAAGTAACTTATTTTTGTTTTTTTTTGCTTTTGAGTTAACAAACGGTTGATGATCGTGCCATGGTATACTTAGGCATTTGATAAAGTGCCACTCAACAGACTTGTGAGCAAATTTAGAATTTGTGGAATAAAACCAATGGTCAAATAGATGAAAAATTGAATGATAGCAAACAGAAGTTGTTTTGCAGATTGCAGGGTGTTTTGTAGTGGAGCTCCCACAAGTCAGTGTTGAGACTCCTCTTCCTCATATGTATTAATGATTTAGACTCGGTATATCATTTCAAAGTTTGGTAGCCATCATGAAAGTTGGAAGTATTGGGATCATCAGTGTTAATCTTCAAAAGAACCCAAAAAAGTGTCACGTGAAAGAAGTGTATGTAAAGTGACAAATTTTGGTAAAAGAATATGGAGAGAATAGGTAAAATTGTTCTAAAATGGAATGCAGGAGCCTAGTGATCTAGGGTGTGTCTGTGGCGCTATAGGTTAAGAGAGCACTTGATCTATCAAGTGTGAGGGATCTGGGCTGCTTAAATTGGAGGATAGAATGTATAAGCACAGAAATTATCATAAACCTGTACAATAACCCTGATTCAGCCTTCTCTCTGGAATATTGAGTTAAATTTTGGTGCAAGACTTCAGGAAGAATGTGAATATTTCAGGAGTGTAGCAAAATTTCATGACAATAATTTCATAGTTGAGGAACTTCAGGTACATAGATCCAGGAAGTTGGGACTGTTCTTTTTAGAGATGAGAAGGTTGAAAGGAGATTTGATAGAAGTCTTCAAAATCGTTAGAGACTAGACACAGTAGATAGAGAGAAACTGTTCTCATTGGTGGATGGATCACGGACCAGAAGGTTTAAGGTAATTTGAAAATTTGGCAAAAGAAACAATGCTGTCATGAGGAAAATCATTTTCTAATGTGGGGAGCAGTTCAGATTCAGAATGTAACACCTGAGTACGGTGGAAACCAGTCCAATCATGGCATTCAAAACTGGATCATTAACTGGAAAGAAAATTTTTGCAGTGTCACAAGAGAAAACCAGTGAGAAGTCAATTAGCCAAACTGCTCTTCAATATGGATAGGAAAAGCATCCTCTTCCTGTGCTGTAACCACTCTATGATTCTGAGAAATAATAAATTTCCTCAAAACAGTTGCTGATATTTTATTCCTGCTTTATTTCAACAAAAATGTCCTTTGGATGACTGATAATTTGTTTTGTTTTTTTCATAGATAAAGCCAATTTTCAGAATATCAACAGGGTAAGTAAAACAGTAATTCTCCATTGGTTTACTTCTGAGATGGTTTGTAATTGCTTGACTACGTGACAATCTGTCTTGTCTGAGAAAATTAAACTGCAATGGCACAGGAGGGGTATTTTACCCTGTAATAACCCCATCTGGGAACACTGCAGAGGTCTGAGTGGAATGCTAAAGACGTTTTACGTCAAGCTTATGCTCTTGATGTAATAGAATATATTTTAAAAGAACAGAAAATACTGTGTTTAAATCATTCATGAACCACAGGTGATAACTCTTGAAATTTCTAACTATCCAGAGTAACTACAGGACAGGAGGGAAATTTCTATTGCTGTGCCACATTAAATTATAGGGATCCTCTGGTTGCAATTTTTCTTTTTGAACTGGCTAAGCATTTTTCCCTAAAATTCTTTTGAAAAGTAAGTAGAAATATACGACATATTCTTCGAGATTATGTTAAAACTGCATGATTATTACCTCCCAAATGTTGGATCAAAAGCATCAAAAACATATTTCCAGGTATTGAAATTTCTCATGTACAAATATCAGCATTTACTAGTGTCTAAATTTGTGTCTAAATAAAAGTCAGTAATTCTGGAGTGAAATTTCTCTTGTTGACTCTTGTTGATAGATTTAACAAAAATGCAAGAGCAAACAAGATTTTGCTGCATGTTTAAATTGTCCAAAGTATCTTTTCTGTACCTTTTTATTTGGCTGAGAACTTAAATCAGATGGGGTGAATACAAAAAACCATATCAAATGGCTTTTTTTTTGAAAAGAAGTTTTTCAAGTACCAGGGTTCTGCATGTAATTTATACATTTTGTACCTAATCTGTTTAATACAATCTATAATCTGTATAATATCAAATAATGCACCAAATGGGGCTTTTAAACTTCAAATTCGAAATCATTACTTGCTATTCTATCACCTCTTAGAATCATAAAAACCCTGCAAAGTAGAAAGAGACCGATCAGCCCATCAAGTCTGCACCAACCGTCAGAACAGCATCCCACCCAGACCTACCCTATTCTCATAATCCTGCATTTACCACAACTAATCTACCTAACCTGCACATCTTTGGATTGTAGGTGGAAAACGGAGCTACCAGCAGAAACCCACACAGACATGGGGAGAATGTGCAAAATCCACACACAGTCACTCAAGGCTGTAATCGAGCCCAGGTCCCTGGTGCTGTGAGGCAGCAGTGCTAATCACCATGCCACCCCTTCTGTCCTCCTGTCTCCAATTTACCCTCCACTTTGTCTAACAACTGTGTGTAGGTCTTAAGGGAAAAACAATAATAAAACACAACAGTAACTGAACAATATTTTTGTTTTCAATTGCTGTGACCCGCGGTTGCAAATTTATGCATACGTTTTCAAGTTTGCTTCATTTTACTCCATCAGTTGGTTAAGTCAGTGGTGTACTTACCCCATACAATGTGACCCCTGCATAACTAGTTTTCACAAGGTAATTTTGGAATTGTAGATCTGTCACTGAAAGTAAGATAGTAGAGGTGATCATCATTTTATGTTGTCCCACTTATTTCATTTGAACAGAATTTTATTTTTAAGGCCTCTTTGAATTACATTGGCATTTCCGGTTTAACATCATTGCCTGTCCCCCCACTCCTGCACCCCACTCACCCTTCACCACCACCCACCTGGCCTTGCCTTCCACTCTTTGTTCTTACCGTAGGCCGTACCCTTCATCATTGAAGTTGCCCTTCTCCTGGCTGCTGTTCTGAACTTGCTCTGAAGGGCTCCATCTGGTGGCAATAGCTGGTCAGTACAGGCATTGCTGGGTCTCTAGGTCCCTGCACTAACTTCTGCCACTCGATGGAGCCTAGTCAGTCTAAAAGTACAGGTGAGTGTATTTTTTTAAAATACTGCACAGGAGGTATAATGTATTCCTTTTATATTTTGTAATGTATTTTGTTTTGACAGTTACTTAAGCTAGGAGTGCACCGCATTGCATTTATTGATTTGTTCATTGGCTTTTCTGGCAAGAAAATGCCTGAGGGAACTTAACTCTGGCTTTACTATTGATTCTTCTGGCAACCCATGATTTATGTAAAGTACCACTTCTCTGGAATGGAATCAGAACTTTAACCAGAAATTCAATCTCAGGATTTTGCTAACACAAAAACGCCTCAAACTTTGCTGTACTGTTTAAAACAATTGCTCAGTTGAGTTGACCAATATCCATGCTGCACCATTAGAGCAATTGCTTATCAATTACATGCAACAGAATATTACAACAATTGAATTTGAAAACAAAGAATTAGGAAAAGCTTTTTCTAAGCAACTCTAAATTTTAAAGTGGTTTTCCGTTGACTATGGTTCGAGGATGGTTTTTTTTTAGTGTTAATGCAATTGACAATCCAACAATGATCAATGTTTTAATCCTGGGGTATATTACCTACCAACATTAACACTCATGAAGAGCAGAAAAGCAATATATCTTCATCCTGCATATTTGGTACTTACAGGCATTCCATGAATATTTATTGAAATTTGATCTGCCAGATACTTTGGTGTCAGTATGTTATGTATATTCTGGTCTTTAGAATATATATGTATAGTCGGCATTATTTAATTTTTTTTAACATATCGTATTACTAAATATCAGTATTTTAAAATTATGATCACTGTAGAGAGCAGTATCTTTAAAAGAAAAACATTAGAATTTTCAGTGAATGACTGAAAGATGGCAAAACAAAATTTCAAGTTTTAAGACTTCCAATGTAGTAAATGGACTAAAAGCAGTATATATTATTATTTCAGTAGGCAACTTAAGCTCTAAACAAATTTTTTAAATCCTCATTTAACTTGTACAATGACTAACTTCACCACTGTTTGTCCCCAAACAGTTATTCCTCATTCTAAACTTTACATGGGTACATTGTTCTCCAGTAGCAAGACAAAAATATTCTCAGATCCCTTTCCTTTTTTACCCCTGCCCTTTCCCCCCACTTTCCCCCCTTTCCCCTCACTGAACCGACTTCATGGTGACCAACAAATGGCAATTCCTGTAGCCAAGGTTAGGCAAATCTTCCAGCTTTGTTTGAACCAAGTAAAATGGGGGTTTAAGCTGAGTGTGAACTTCCATCCACATTCTGTATGGTGGACAAGAGAGGTTTGTTCCTTCCAACTTTCTTTTGGATTCTTGCAAACTGAGGCTGTTAATGGAGTTCACTGATGTTTAGAAGAACCGTGCAACTTGACCCTCCAGTAACTTCTTGTGAACTCTTGTCCTCTCAAAGCTGCCTTTTTCTGCCAGTGTGAATCACACAGGCCCTTTATGTTGTAACATTTAAAGTGCCCATAAACATAATTAAAGGTTATGAGGTTTCCTGCCTCTACGAACCTCCCAGATAGTGCGTACCACACTCTCACTGTCCTCTGGTCTTCTGGTTCTTATACCCTAAGTATTACCAATTGCAAGACCTGAAATTCCCTCCATCTCTCTCCAAACTGGAGAGTAGCATTCGGTCTACCTCAAGAACATCTGCTGTGTTCATTGCTAAAGGGTTTGAATATGTTGCATGTTCTCCACAGGTAGAACAACCTGGATCCTCTCCTTTAATCTTTGCAATCAAGCCATTATCAGAAGAATTCAGAACAGGTCACATTCAGGTTCAAGGGGAGACAGTGGTATAGTGGTAATGTCACTGAGCAAGTAATCTAAAGGCCCAGGCTAATCCTCTGGGGGTGTGGGTTGAAATCCTACCATGGAAGATGGTGGAGTTTAAATTCAATTAATAAATCTAGAATATAAGACTAGTGTCTCTAATATGACAATGAGACAATCATTAATTGTAGTAAAAACCCATCTACTTTATCCATGTCCTTTATGAAAGGAAATCTGATGTCCTTAACATCATCTAAACTACGTGTGATTCCATACCTTTCAAATGTGGTTGACTCTTAATTGCTGTCTGAAATGGCCAAGCAAGTTGTTCAGTTCAAGGATGATTGGGAATGGGCAAGAAATGCTTTCTTTGCCAGTGATACCTGCCCTAAGTGACTCCAGTTGTCCCATTCATTCATCTGTCTTAGAGTGAGTTAGAGATGGCCCAGAAACACAACACACTATTAAATCTTGTATTTGTAAAACAAAATGACCATAAATGATTAACTTTGATAGAAACTCACCACTCTTGGCAATTTAATGACATCATAATATTGCTATTTTTGACAATCACAATAATTGCTTCTCTGCAATTGTTTTGTGGAAGCTTCAGTAACATCTGATTATCAGTTTAAAATATTGTTTACTTGGCAATAGTTTAATTATTTTGGATGGTTATTAATGCTGAAGAGCTACTAATTTTCAAAGACAATATGCTATTCCTCTAATTTGCTTAGTACCTGGACTCTAACATGCAAGCAGTGGTGTATGAATTAAACTCCAGTGTAGAACAGCGGTTGGACCGTGGCAGTGACAACCGACTACTCATATTTGAATTGTGTAACATCATAAAAACAGGTAGGCCATTATATTTGTGAAATTCTGCATTTAGAAATTATTCAATTGCTTGATTAGATCTTTTTTGAAATGCAAGGCTATATTTTGTTTTTATTTTCCCTGCCTTCTTGTGGATTGGTTATCGTGCTTTATCTCCAGCCAAGATAATATGCCGAGAGATTTGCACAGCGGCCTGCCTCAGTGCTGTTCTAAAATTGTCCCAAAAGTATCCAAATGAATCCCAGTTTTGTTATTTTCAACTCCAACTGGCAAATTATAATTGTGATATTCGGATTCTACATACAATAAACAGAAATTGTGTGCAAGATCAAAAAAATGTAATAGGATCATGTGAATTGATCTTTGAAAGTAGCAGGACATTGGGAGAGTATTTAGCGAAACATATGGGATCTTGGACTTTATATATAGAAGTATTGAGTACAAAAGAAACCCAAACAGAGAACAATCACTGTTGAAACTAGTGAAGGGAAGTGAACGAGAGCAGAGAATTAAACATAAGGAATGGTGTCTACAACTTAAGTTTTAACTAATGAGGAAGAAAGACACAAGTAAAGCAAGGATCGAGGAAAGAGTTCGGAAGAAACAAAAACTAATTCTGAGTTAATCAGAATGGACCTAAGAAAGATAAACTGGAAAAAATAGGGGTAATTATGAGGACCAGGAATGTTCTTTGTAAGCAGGATCAAGAGTCCCACGTAGTGTGATGCCATCTGGTGCCAAGGTGAAGGACATAGAGTGATACAACACGGAAACAAACCCTTCGGTCCAACCAGTCAATGCTGACGATAATCCTAAACTAAACTAGTCCCACCTGCCTGCAAACATTTCTTATTCATGCACTTACCCAAATGTCTTTTAGACACTGTAACTGTACCAGGATCCTCTGGAAGTTCATTCCAGACATAAACCACAGTCTGTGTAAAGCGAAAAGAAAAATTAGCTCTTGTGTCTTTTTTAAATCTTTCTCCTTTGACCTTAAAAATATGGTCCTAGTCTTGAAATCCCCTACCGTAGGGAAAAGATACCTGCCATTCACCTTATCTATACCCATCACAGGTCATAGAATCCCTACCCCACCCAGACCCATCACCCTATAACCCACCTAACCCACACACCCGCAGACACTATGAGCAATTTAGTAATGTTAAAGACTTCCAAGTGAGAAAAGTCCCAGCCTCTAGTTATAAATCAAACCCTCCATTCCTGACAACATCCTGCTAAATCTCTTCTAGACCCCCTCCAGCTGAATAATATCACTGCTATAACCAGAACCAGAACTGCACACAATACTCCAGGAGAGGTCTCACCAATGTCCTATACAACCTCAACATCCCAACCCCTATACTCAAAAGTCTGAACAATGAAGGCAAGCGTGCTAAATACCATCTTAACCATCCTGTGTGTATGTGCACAAACTTCCAAGAATTACATTCCAAAACTCCTAGGTCTCTGTTCTACAACACTACCCAAGGCCCTACTCTTAACTGTATAAATCCTGCCCTTGTTTGTTTTACCAAAATGCAATACTTCACATTTATCCAAATTCAACCCCCTCCTTCACTGTTCACTAGTTTCAGCCCATTGACCCAATTAATCAAGACCTCTTTGTAGTCTTAGATAACCTTCTTCAGTATCCACTATACCACCAATTCTGGTGTCATCCATAAACTTACTAACCATGCCTTCTGTGTTCTCATCTGAATCATTTACAAAAATGACAAAACAAAAGGGGACCCAGCACCGATCCTGCTGGAACACCACTGAACACAGGCCTCCAGTCTGAAAAACAACCCTCCACTGTCTGTCTGTCTCCTGCTGTTAGCTAATTTTGTATGCAATTGGCAAGCTCACCCTGAATCCCATGTGATCTAACTTTATTAATTAGTCTAATATGCGGAATCTTGTCAAAGGCTTCACTAAAGTCCAAATAAAGAATATCTACCACTCTACTCTTAACAATCTAGTTGGTTACTTATAGAGTCACAGAGACACGGACCTGTTGGTCTGACTTGTCCATGCTGACCAGATATCCTAAATTAATCTAGTCCCATTTGCCAGCATTTGACCCATATCCCTCTTAAACTCTTCCTATTCATATACCCATCCAGGTCTCTTTTAAATATTGTAATTGTATCAGTTTCCACCATTTTCTCTGGCACTTCATTCCATACACGCACCACCCTCTGTATGGAAAAAGTTGCCCCTTAAGTTCCTTCTTTATCTTAACCCTCTCACCTGAAATTGATGCCCTCTAGAATCATAAAATCCCTACAGTGTGGAAACAGGCCATTCGGCCCACCAAGTCCACACTGCCCCTCCGACGAACATCCCACCCAGACCCATTCCCCTGCCCTTTCCCTGTAACCTGGCATTTCCCATGTCTAATCCACCTAATCTACACACCACTGGACACTATGGGCAATTTAGCATGGCCAATCCACCTAACCCGCACATCTTTGGACTGTGGGAGGAAACCCACGTAGACACAGAGAATGTGCAAACTCCACACAGACAGTCGCCCAAGGGTGGAATTGAACCTGGGTCCCTGGTGTAACCACTGACCCACCGTGCCACCCCAGTTTTGGACTCCCTTCCCCTGGGGATAAGATCTTGCCTATTCACCCTATTCATGCCATCTGTAAGGTCTCCCTCAGCCTCCAACGTTCCGGGGAAGATAGCCCCAGCCTATTCAGCCTCTCCCTATAGCTCAAAGCCTCCAACCCGAGCAACATCTTTGTAAATCTTTTCTGAACCCTTTCAAGTTTCACAACATCTTTCCTATAGCAAGGAGACCAGACTTGAACTCAGTATTCTAAAAGTGGCCTAACCAATGTCCTGTACAATGGCAACATGACCTCCCAACTTCTATACTCAGTGCACTGACCAACAAAGGCAAGCGTACCAAACTGCAAATCCACTTTCAAGGAACAATGAATCTATATTTCAAGGTCTCTTTGTTCACCGACACTCCCCAGGACGTTACCATTAAGTGTATAAATCCTGCCCTGATTTGCCCTACCAGAACGTAGCACCTCAAATTTATCTAGATTAAACTCCATCTGCCACTCCTCGGCCCATCCAATCAAGGTCCCGTTGTACTGTGAGGTAACCTCCTTTGCTGTCCACTACATCATCAATTTTAGTGTCAGCTGGAAACTTACTAACCATACTTCCTATGTTCACATCCAATTCATATATATAAATGACAAAAAGCAGTGGACTCAGCCCCAATCCTTGTGGCACACTGCTGGTTACAGGCCTTCAGTCTGAAAAACAACCCTCCACCGCCACCCTCTGTCTTCTACCTTCAAGCTAATTTTGTATCCAAATGGCTAGTTCTCCCTGTATTCCATGTGATCTAACCTTATTAACCAGTCTACTATGCATAACCTTGTTGAATGCCTTACTGAATAGACAACGTCTACTGCTCTGTTCAAGAGGACTGATGAAGGCATCAAAACTGAGTATCTGTTTGAGAGAGGAATTAGCCACAGGAGATTTCTAAACTACCCTCTTACTTTCTTGACATTCACCCATCTATCTGACTGATCCTGCTGTGTAACCTCTTCTCTGAATCTACTAGCCATCTAACTCTGTCTCTTGTGTGCTGTAAATGACATTAAGCTTAAAAAGAAGCAGCTTTCAATAGCACCTTATATATAAAATAAACTAGCTTTCCTTACCCAAAGAATTAATATTAAGCATGCAGGAAATAAAAAAGTTTAAAAAGCAAACACATAAATCTTAATAAAATCAACCACTTAGCTGAATAATTGAATTTTAAAAAAGTCTCCTCAAGTGTCCATCAGACAGCTTTTAGTCATCTGATTTTAAAAAAAAAAGTCACTCTAGAGCCGTCCATGTATAGGCCTTTCCAAAAACTCTGTAAACACAACTCTGTCTTAAAAAAAGAAACTCCTGGACGATTTTAAGAAATCTCTTTTAAAAACTCCCCCAATGTATAATTTTGGAGGAGAAAAAAGAGCCATCCACGTGTAGACTTCTCCAAAAGGTCCGTTAACACAACTCTGTTTGAAAAAAATGGAGTGCGTATTTTTGTTTTGTTTTGTTTTGTTTTCGTTTTACGTCTTTGACTATAAAAGAACTATATATGAATCAAAATAAAAATCTTATACCACTGAAATGTAGGAGTCTAAATCTAGAAGTAAGCCTGCAATCTCCAGAGCAGCTGCAAGTTTCACGCAACTCTCAGCCCATCATTTTAGAATATAAAAGGATACTTGAGAAGGTGGGAGAGGATCCAGTTATGGTATGTGTTGGCACCAACAACAAAGACAAGAGTAGACAAGAGGTTGAGAGATCGTGTTTAGATAATATTAGGAATTCAGAACACAATTAAAAATAAGACCTCAAAATCTCTGAATTATTACCTGAGGCATATGCAGATTGGTAAAGAGATAAGATTAGGGAAGTAAATATGTAGCTAAAGAGGGGTTCCATTTTGTGAGGCACTGGCATCCATATTGGGACAGGAAGTGGTTGGACCATCGGGGCGGACTCTACCTAAACTGATCTGGGACTAGTGGAAAAGCTAAATAGGGTGGTCACAGGACTTTAGACTAGTTAAAATGAGTGAGGACTCAAGAGATTATCAAAGTTTCCAGAATAAGTAATAGGACAGAATATCAAAAGGGTGAGGAATCCAACTTCAGGTGCAGCAGACAAGGGAACAACTATGAGAAGGGGGCAGTCAGTGCAGTACTGTGAGTGCTGTACTTAAATGCATGCAGTATACAAAGCAAGATACATGTGCTTATAATGCAGATTTAAATTGGCAAATGCGATATTGTGAGCATCACGGAGACATGGCTGCCAGGCGATCAGGGCTGAGAACTAAATATCGGAGGAAACGTCCTTTTAAAAGGATGGGCAGAGGGGGCGATGCTCTCTTGTTAATAAGAAATGAAATGAAATTGATAGCAAGCAGTGATATAATGTTGGCAGTTATAAATCTGTGTGTATGGGTAGAGTTGAGGAGC